ACAAGTGCTATGAGGAGAGGCTCAGGGCTGGGGGGTTACCCTGGAGGAGAGGGAGGTCTTATCGCTCTCTGCGACTACCTGAGAGGAGGTTGTGGCTAGGGGGGGTGGGGAGGACGAGAGGTGCCCCAAGGGAGGTTCAGGTCGGACATTAGGAATTTATTCACGGAAAGTGTGATACGACACTGGAATGCACTGCCCAGGGAGGTGGAGTCACTGTTCATGGGGGTGTTTAAGGACAAACTGGATATGGCACTCAGTGCTATGCTCTAGTTGACATGGGGGTGTTAGGTAGTAGGTTGGATTCGGTGATCTCACAGGTCTTTTCCAACCTTAATGATTCTGTGATTCTTTGATCTTTAAGGTCCCTTCCAACCCCGACCACTCCGTGATTCACTGACTCTGTGATTTAGCTCTTAAGCTGCAGTTTTTCAGGTTTGGAGTTTGTTGTTCTCTGTGTCTAACACACCATGTGTCCTTCCTGCCTCAGATCCGGCTCCCGCCAGAGGTGAACCGGATCCTGTACATCAGGAACCTGCCCTACAAGATCACTGCTGAGGAGATGTATGACATCTTTGGGAAGTACGGGCCCATCCGGCAGATCAGAGTGTGAGTATTGCCGTTTTCCTGGGAATGTTCAGGGCTTCACGTGCTCCGGGGTCAGTGTCCTTCCTGCAGTGGGTGGCAGCTGGGATCCACAGCTGGAAGGGTTCAGAGCCAGTGGCAGTGTCCCGGGTACCAGGGGTGGGTGTGACAGTGTTGCTCCAAGGGGTGAATTTGTTAGGAAATGGTTTTGCTGGGGGATAGGGTGACACAGCTCAAGTGTGATGTGAACTTGGGGAAGCTGGTAAAAGAGGAAACACTCACTCTCTAGACTCACTCTCTTAAGTAAGACTGAAATTGAGCTGAGCTTTTGCCTTGACTCAAGGTGAAAATAAGAAAGGCAGAAGCTGAATGCAACCAGTTTTCCTGTTTAATGAGCATTAGATAATGGGAAAGCAGAGATGTTGATGTTGCTGCTGGACCTGTGGACTAGAGACAAATAGCAGCAGAAACCCCTGTGTGTCAGAGATAGGATGTCCTGAGCCATACAGGGTCTGGAGAGTGGAGGTGGGACTGTCACTTGTAAAATGCATCCAGGCTGGATGTGTGTGCAGTACCTCTGAGGTTCTGGTTAGCACAAACACTGAAGGCCTGAGTTCTGGTGTTCCCTGTTATCCCTAGTACTGCCTGAGTCACCACAGAATGGTTTGGGTTGGAAGGGACCCTAAAGATCATCCAGTTCCAACCCCCCTGCCATGGGCAGGGACACCTTCCACTAGACTAGGTTGTTCCAAGCCCTAGCCAACTTGGCCTTGAACGCTTCCAGGGATGGGGCAGCCACAGCTTCTCTGTGCAACCTATTTGATTGTTATAAAGTGAATTTTACAGACAGAGTTGCCCTAATAGACCACAAGGACAGGGACACATGCTGCTGGTGCTGTGCTGGAATGTGCAGCTGGACAGACCCTTCTGCTGGGAAGCGCAGCTGACGTGACTGGAAAAGTGGCTCGAGGGGCAGTGTAAATACTGCCTGGCTAAATAGATGGAATGCTTTCCTAATGAGCATAAAGGAGAGCTAATACTTAAGGCCTCTGAAACTGTGTGTGATGGAACCAGCCTTACAGTGGGACGTAAGGAATTGGGACATATCAGGGAGCTTTCCACTGGAGCAATGCACTGGTGTTTGTGTCCAGCAGTTTGTTCAGAACTACTAATCCATGTTGCTTCCCACAGAAATCCCAACGTCAACACAAGACAAGACATAACATGGAAGTCCCTTTGTAATGACTTTTGTGCTTTGTGCAGTTTTTATCCCATTCTCCACCTCACACATCCCAGTGTGGATACATGTGATACCACTTGTCCTTAAGAGTTCTCAGAAGTGAACCCCTTAGAGACAGTAGTTCTGGTTACTGAGTCTCTAACTGTGTTTTAGCTGAGCCCTTTGGGATCTGTAAACTCTGCAACCTCTCCAAGCTTGTTACTGTTATGTGCCCAGACATGTGTCCTGTCCCTCAGGCAAAGGCAGTGGAATTGGTGCTCCAGTGGGTGATGGCTGTGCCTCTGCAGTAGCCTTGCACCAGCAGGGCAGTTCTGACTCTCTCAAATTGACTTTGTGATATGCCAGGAGCCCTATTCCAGCCTAGGGACACATCTGATCCAGACAGCCACTAACTGACAGCCAGGTCTTGTAATATTAAATAAAACAAGCTAATTGCTGTAATAAAAACTTAAATTGTTTCCAGACACATGACAACTCCTGACAAACAGCTTCTGATAGTTGTTGTGGAGAGGTGCATTTCCCTTAAGGAGCATAATGCTGCACAATTTCCTGTTGTTTCTGGCTCTGAGCTGTAAGTGGAGGTTGGTGTGGAAAGCAGAGATGTAGCTTAGAAAAAATAACAAACTGGTTTTTGGTGCAGTTGCATTAGTTAATCGAATCTCAGTCACAGTGAAATAACAGATAGACTGATAAAACTATTTCTTATTCATTTTATTTAACATTCAAACTGATCTTGCTCTGCAGTGGAAACACTCCTGAGACCAGAGGAACAGCCTATGTGGTCTATGAAGACATCTTTGATGCCAAAAACGCGTGTGATCACCTGTCAGGATTCAACGTGTGCAACAGATATCTCGTTGTGCTGTACTATAATGCAAACAGGGTATGTGCACCAGGGTGTCTGTTACCTGTGAGCAGGGATAGCATGGAAAACCAAACCCAAAATCAGGTGGTGAAGACAGTGGCTTGGGGATATTTAAGAAATAAATCCAAACTGGTAGAGGGAGTGGATTGGATACAGGGTCAGGATTTGATGTTGGTGATTTTTGTGCAAAGCAAGTACCTTTGGGCCAAGGATGTGGGAAAGATGTTTGTGGTGAGTGTACTCTGGAGGGAGCAGGGGCCTCACAACTGCACAGCTGCAGCAGGATGTGAGGTCTTAGTTACAGGTAAAAAGTCTCCAGTTCTTGGTGTTCTCCCTGTCACTGGTGGTGTCCAGGGCCCTGTGGTATTCTTTGAGGGTGAGACTCCAACAGCTTTGTACGTGTGTGTGATGGTCATGTAGTTCATAGTGATGCTGGTTGCAGATAGTTGGAAATAACTTGTCATAAAATGAGAGATGCTTTTCTCACATCTTTTATTTTCCTAATTACAGGCATTCCAAAAGATGGACACAAAGAAGAAAGAGGAACAGCTTAAGCTTCTCAAGGAAAAATACGGAATTAACACAGACCCCCCAAAATAAACTGATCTTTTTGGATAGCTGTTTTCAAGCCCTGCTGTTGAGTTCTTGACCTAAACACAGGAATTCTCAACAAAGTGTAACTTTTTTTCTTAAAAATTTGATAAGCTGAGATACGAATCTTTAGATCTTCACATTAGAATTAAATAAATGTAAAACACAGGAAGAAGTGCTTTGAGATTAAATCCCTCCAATGCTGTGAGGGTGACCTGGTAGATGCTGCATTGACCTGCCCCTAGCAGGACCTTTCAGGATGGGACTATGCAGGTTCCGTGTTTTACAGATCAAAGCAAGCACCAGGCAATGTTTATAACAAAGTTTCTGTAACAAGCTGTAGAAGATGAACAGCCTTTTCAAAGGATCCAGCTGATAGGTGACTCCAGTCAAGATGTCTTGTTCTCAGTGGTGCCAACACTGATCAGATGCAGTGGAACACCCTTGCTCTCATGGTGTACCTTTGGGCTGAGCTCTCATGGTGTACCACAGGGCTGAGCTGAGCTGAGCTGAGGGTGTACCAAGTTTGTCCTGAGGACTTGATGTGACTGGAGAACTGACCAACACGAGACAATAGGTGAAGATTTTAATTTTGACACCTACAGTTTTTGACACCAAGTTTTCTACTTGGTGTGTTAGAACTGGGATACATTTTCTGTACATATGTTTTTAGGTGTAGCATCTGGTGGAGGAAAAACAAATTTACATTTTTTAGCTCTTTTTTTTCAGCACTTATGTCCTGTATATCAAAATGAGTGTGGTATACAGTGTGCATAACCAGTATCTTTTGGAATTAGGAAAGAATAACCTCCACCTCTGTTCTGAACCAGCTGGAAGTTGTGTGAACACAGGTAGTATCCTGCCTCAGGAGGAGTTATTTCTATGGATGTGATGTTCTACTCCCTGACCAGACAGCTTCCAAGCCAGTGCAGAACCTGGGCAGGTGCAAACATACTTTGCCTGAGGATTTGTAATTTAATTTTGTTTTTCAGTGCATTGTATTGTCATAAAGGAACATTCCCATTTTCTGATCCTCAGATTTTTGTTGGAATCTGTCACTTCAGAAGCATGCTGTTCTTGTGTCCCTTTGGTAAAAAAATAAATGCCTACATATTTTGCTTTACTTCATCAAGGCTTGCTGCATGCTGTGCTACCTGTTCTTTTAGAAGGGAAGTCTTTCAACACCTGAATGTGATGCAGGCAGGAACTGTAGCACATCCATTACCACATGTACAGGAATGTTCCTGTGTGTCCATGGGTGATGGGGAGAGTGCCCAGCTGGACCAGCTCTCACCTGGAGGAGGTCCCTGGCAGGCCAGTTGTGTGCTGTGCACCTTATTTCTCTGGGCAGGGAAGAGCATGAACGGTGGTGGTGATGCTCTGAGCTGGATATGGAAGAGAGAGCCTCAGTGGGTTGGGTGTGAGTTCAGCTTTGGGTGAGCACTCAAGAGTCCCATCCTGTGCCTGACCAGGAAACATCCCACTGGGGTAGGTCTGTCCTGCCTTCTCTGGCAGACAGGCATTTGGGATGTGAGCAGGAGCCATATTCAGTGTGTGCAGTAAAAAGCCTTTTCTCACTATGTGACTCCTACATCTGTGTCCTTCCCTTAAAATGTGTTTTGCAGCAAGAAGCCTTGCATGCCATAGTAATTCATCCATGGGGTTGGGAACAGGGATGGGAGGCTTGGAGCCCATTAGCTGGGGCTGCACCTCTAGGCTACAGAAACCCAAGGCTGCAGTGATGTCCTTGCCAGCTCTCCCTCCTGCCCAGCCCAGACATGACATGCAAAGCCCCCGTGACCTGCTGTTGCTGTTCCCAGGTGAGCTGTCACTCCCCCACTGCCAGCTTGGTTTTTGGGTCTTGCCCACCAGAATAACAGAAACCCAAGTTCCTGAGGCAAAAACCAGCTTGCCTTAACCGTGCTTAAAGGAATGAAGTCCTCCTGGAAGGCTTGCTTCTAAGTGAACATCCCTAGCTTTTTAAGGGTTACAAACCACCCCCAAATACATGTCTAATATACATGTATATACATAATATGCCATGCATATACATATATGGATATTAGCAGATCCCTTGTAGTAACAGGAACTGGAGGTGCTTGTTACTATGCTGGATTTATGCTTCTAATTAATACCAATAAACACTGATAATAAATACCAGAGTGCCAGTGATGGTGCTGCCAGCCTTGTTTAAAATCGTATGCAAATACCGCATTGCTTCTGTCAATAGCAGAGAGCCTGGTGCTTGCACTGCAGTGTCTGTTTTGATGAGGATTTGATGCTGTTTGAAAAACATATATAAAAAGCAATTCTTTAGGGTAATAAGATTAATAAAAATTCCTTCAATGAATCCTCAAGATCAGCAGCTTTTGATTTCTCTGAGAGCTCAGCTGCTGCCTTTCATTAAATATTCTATTTCATACTTTCTCTTCCAGTGCCTGTTCAGGGCTTTGAGTGTCCCTGCACATGTAAAATGAAATAATAATTTGTACCTGCAAGACAGAGGGAATGGGAATGGAATGCCCGGAGGATTGTTTTGATGAGATCTGCTCAAGATTTTGTTTGAAATGTAATATCAAAGGACAGGGAAATGAGTTCAGTTCTGTGAATGGCAGAGGGGGCAGCGAATAAGGCAGAGGTTACCAGCCTTGCACTGGTTTTGTGTGTGCTCACTTCCTACTTAATTTTTCAGGAAGTAGGGCATGAAATTAAGCCTGGAAGGTCGTTCTTTTTTTCCCATTGATGCTGTTTAGAAACTAGTAACAAGAGCATATCTGATTACACAGGCAATGACAGTAAATTTTTTCCAATCTATTATATAGTGGTAATAATTATATGTACTGTGTTGATCGATGATACAATTAAATAAATTAACGCATTTGCAGTCGAATAAAGAGCTGAAGATTACATTTCCTTGAAGACTTAATTTCCCTAAGTATCACAAAGCACAATTAGTTTTCCTTTCAGATTTTTTTTTAATGAAATTGGCATGAAAAATGTAATAATCTCAGCTTCCAACCAAGGTCTCCACAGAGAACGGGTGATGAGGGAGAGCTTCATCAGCCAGCTGTAATAAGGATTTTATGGAGTCAGTGATGGCTGGTTGTACTGCTGAGGGCAAGAGGGAAGTGCACAGCAGCAGCTCTGCACACAGAGGTGATAAGACAGAGTCTAATCAGCTTTTAGAGCCCAGCAGGAACGTGCTTTCCCTGGTAAGAAACCTGGCGGGAGCAGAAGGGCAGAGCCATGCCCTGCCTATTGCCCCAGCTGCAGCAGAAACTCCCAAACAGCAGGATCAAGAGACTGTGGAGGGAACATACAACCATTCCAGGCATGCTTAGCCAACCCTTCCCTGTCAGGGCATTCAGGAAAGGGCCGAAATCAGACACTGCTCTCTGGTGAGACTCACCTGGAGTCCTGTGTTCAGTGTTGGGGTCCCCAGCACAGGAAGGACCAGTTGAAGCAAGTCTAGAGGTGGGACAGCAAGTTAGAGGGATGAAGCACCTCTCCTGTGAGGAAAGGCTGAGAGAATTGGGATTGTCCAGCCTGGAAAAGAGAAGACTTTGGGATGACCTAATTCCAGCTTTCCAGTACCTGAAGGGAGCCTACAGGGAAGATGGAGAGACTATTTCCAAGGGCCTGGAGTGACAGGACAAGGGGGAATGGCTTCTAACTGATAGAGAGCGGGTTTAGATTAGATATTAGGAATAAATTCTTTACTGTGAGGGTGGTGAGGCACCGGCACAGGTTGCCCAGAGAAGCTGTGGATGCCCCCCCCCTGGAGGTGTTCAAGGCCTGGTTGGATGTGGCTTGGAGCAACCTGAACTAGTGGAAGGTGCCTCTGTCCATGGCAGGGGATTGGAACAAGATGATGTTCAAGGTCGCTTCCAACCCAAACCATTCTGTGTACTCTGATTTTTTTTCTTTTTAATGAGCAGCTAACTTAAACTGGGCTGTTGGTAGGAGCAGCTTAGACCAATGTGGTGAATCAGCCTGTGTGTGACAGGCACAACAGGGCTGCATTACCTTTAACCAAAACACCTACAGGAGCTCATTTCTGCAGCTGCTGCAGCCAGATCACAGCAGCCACGATCTGTGATCCAGGGCTGAAATGAAGGACAGCAACACAGACTGGGGCAGTGGCAAAGGAGAATTGGCCCTTTTAGAAAGAATTTGGGAAAGCTGGTGGACATCAGACCTGGCAGGTCCAATTCCCTATTTATTAATGGGAAATCAGCTGTCCTAAATAAAAGAACTATTAGTGAAATGGAGTGTGGCCTAGCTGCTGCAGTGATCCTAGATTCCCATCAAAAAAAAAAGGTTCTGAGAAGTCTTTGCTTTCTTTATGAAGAGCAAGAAAACAATTTACTCCACTTGATGCATAACAGCTTGTAAGAGAAGGATTTATGGGCTTATTAATTAACAAGCTCAAATGCAGCTTTGTGAGTAAGATGAACATCTGGAGAAAAAAGAGCATGAGTTGTGGTCACTGGCCAGATCACCAGTCTTGCTTCTCTGTGCTCCTTTTCTCTCTCATCTCCAGGAGGTGTCAGCTGGAGACACTTCTGTAGCTTTGCCTGTGTCTGCTTATGCTTGGTGTGTTCTCCTTAGCCTTAGCCTTACACAAGAAAACAGCACAGCTGTTTGCCGGAAATACTCCCATCAAAAAATCCATTAGTTGAAAACTATGCAAATAGTTTACAGTCAAGTTAAATAAAAGTAACATCATGACTCAGTGATGCTCTGGTTTTTTTATAGCAATTGAGAAAAATGAGCCTAAAGGAGAGAAATCAGGCAAAATAACAAAGCAAAATAACAGCACAGAGGCAGCTTTGCTGATCAGGTCATGCTCCTAAATCCAGGTAAATGACAGTCTACACATCTTCCTGTCTCTGGGGGAGGAACCAGCATTTCATGAGTTCATATAACCAGCAAATGAAATAAATACTGCTCAGTGTTGAGTGCCTGAGGCCTGGCATGAGGACTCTGCAAGCAGCCTAAAAACACCCCATGTGTTCAGTGACCACATCATCCCACAGCTGAGGTGTTTTGGAAGGTGGATGCACTCTTGTAGCCTTCCCCAGCCACAGTAGAAAAATTGTTACTAGTTTTACTGTTGTAAAGGTATAGAATGAGACCAGCACTGCATGTCTTTGACAAAGAGAACTTTCCATCTCTTCAGCAGCCAAATTTTGGCCAGAGTTGAATGGCCACAGGCAGGGCAGGGGAAATGGAGAGTCAGGAAACCTCTTTGTTCCAGCAGCTGTTACTTGCATGATTCAGATACACTGTGCCATCTCTAACAGAAGCAGTGCATGGAGTTAAGTGTATCTCATATAAGAAGAGAAATAATTAACAAGAAATGGATTAATGACTGTTTGAAGAACTTCTCAATACAGTAAAAAGCATTCTGGTGGCCAGAGGAGAAAAACAGAAAATACAAACTGTAAAGTATCAAGATTTTATTGAGTTTTTTTATATATACTTACAATTCTTAAATGAGACAGTATTTTTTAAAACAGCAGCAAGCAGAACGTACAAGTTGAGAAAAGTGGCAGCGCAGGTAACTCTGTTTGGCTAATGCCCATTCATGTACAAGGTGTACATTGGATTTGCTTTTTTGAGCACCTTTTGTGGTTTTTATTTTTCTTGGTTTAAGTGTACAGTAAGGCAGTGGTTTTTCAATAAGGAATATATATATATTTATATTTATATATATTTTCAATCATCACTGTGAATTCTTCGTACATGCAAATTAAATAAAATGTACAACTTGAAAAGGTAACACCGGCAGAGGTTTTTCCTCAAAGCAAAGCTTCTAATAAAAGGCAAATACGGACACCACACAGATAAAAAAGAGGTGGAAGGCATAAGAAACCAAGCGGCAGGCACTATTGACAGGACAGCTCGAGCAGGGAAGTTTGGGATTCCAGTGAAGATTTCTCCCACCGCTGGCAAGGCAAGGAAGAACGGATGGTTATTAACAGATGTCTCCAGCCAACTCCATTGGAAGGTTCACTCTAACCTGAGAAGCTCCACATCAAAGAGGAGTGTAGCATTGGGAGGGATGACCCCAGGGTGGCCTGTGGCTCCATAGGCCATCTCAGGTGTGCAGGTCAACTTTGCTCTTTGTCCTAAGCTCATCTGGGTTTTGGATGTCAGAGAAAGGAAAAGAGAAGACAAAAACAATGGTATGAGGAGGAAAACAAAGGAAAAATCACTACCTGGCAAATTTACAGAATCAGGAAGAGGGGGTCATCAGAGTCACGGAATTGTTTAAGTTGGAAAAGACCTTCAAGATTATTTGGTAGGGCATGAGTTGGAACTAGATGATCCTGAAGGTCCCTTCCAATCCAGGCCACTCTGATTCTCTGAGTCCAACTGGTTCAGCTTCAAGCTGAAACTGCCATAAACAGCTCAGATATGGGGCTTCTGGGGTCTAAATTCTGCAGAGTGCAGGGTACATGGAACACTATCAGCAGGCACTGGGAAAAGGCCCTCAGTAACAGATAGGAGTGGAGCTCTATTCCTGGGGGATAAGTGCCCAAACACAGCTATGTTCAGCACTTATTTCCCTAAACTCATCCCAAGCCCGAGGACAGACATCTCACACTGTTTATCCTGGCAGAGAGCCCTTGCCCTTGGGATGGACAGGAATGCTGACTTCCCTCACTCCAGGCTAGCCCTGAAGCTAACAGTGCTCTGTTAACAGAGATACTGTGTATTGAGAATCAAATCCCTGCTCTTCCAACAGAGGATTCCGGAGCATTCTCAAACTGCTATTCATTCACTGGCCAAGAAACAACCCCTCATTGAAGTAGTGATTTTCACTTGGATCTCTCTCCCAAGATTTTGCACATCACTGGACTACAGATCATGTGATA